TTCTTACTATTCTTACTATTATTCTCTCATAAAACTTTATAAATCTCCACTTGGAAACTGATATTGAGATTTTCTATAAAATTTAGAATTATCTCTTTCCAATAAAATATCTATTTCTTTTTCTGTGTGCTGCTATATTCTTTTAGTGGCTCACATATTTAAGTTCTGGAAGCATATTATCCTTTAGGAACACAAATTTCATAATTGTTATGGCATTTCTAGGAAGGTCCATAAGCGTTAGTAGAACATCTTATTTTAAATCTCTAATTTTCTGAATAGCAAACCTTTCACATTATTATACTTAGTAGTGTTTTTCTGCTGTAAATTTCAAAATTTATAGGAATCATTTTACACATTATTATATTTTTCCAGGAGCTTTTTCATGTTCTTTTGTGCTCCTTTAATAGAGCAGAATATTTTACATTGTTGACTTACACATCATCCTTTTCTGAGGATTCTAAGAATGTTTTAGAATTTCTTACCTTCCTATATATTTCCTAAACCATTTTAATCTGTTCACATGTGTGTACACAAGTGTGGTCAATTTCTCTATCTCCATCAGGAGACTTCCTCAAAGATGTCATGATTAGCCTTAAAATAATATTCAGACCTCAGCCCTACCACTCAGAGTGTACAGATTACCCATTTATTTTCCTCATTTTAGAGAATTTCTTTCACCTGCCTGTTCAAAAAATTTTAAAGATGATGTTGTTTTTTATACTTGCATGAGCAACTAGTTCTTTATCTACACTCTTTCTTCCATAGGCTCTAAATTTTAAATCTTTCATTGACTCATCTTCTGGTCTCATTAATAATCTCTCTCTGTCTCTGAGATATTTAAATATCTAGTAATATTTCAATGAGAAATATTGAAAACTAACATTGAAAACTCACTCGTTGGAAACATGTTGCTGCAGGAAATGACATAAATTTAATAGAAATACGTCACCCTATGAGAATCATAAGATTTATTGAGTCTCGATAGATTAGATGATAGATAGATATAGATAGAGAGATAGAGAGATAGAGATAGATAGAGATGATAGAGAGAGATAGAGATGGAGATGGAGATGGAGATAGATAGAGATAGAGATAGAGATAGAGATAGAAATATAAAATCAACCAATTACTAACCCTGTGGCTTGTTCAGAGGCAGTTAATCACATGGGAGGAGATTTCCCATCCTTCTCCCACAAGCAGCTGTTGGCCTTGAGCCGTATGCCTTTGGGATTGGAGTGCAGCTTCTTGCCACTAGGCCACAATATATATATTGTTATTATGTGATGTCAAGTTGCCCACAACTCATAGTGATCCTATCTATAACAACTCTGAACCCTGCTCCAACTTGAGACAATTTCATTGTTTCTGACACATCTACCCTGATTACTCCAGTTACTGAGTCAATCCATTTTATTCACGGGTCGTCCCTGTGCCTTTCCATACATGATATGTCCCTTTCTAAGGACTGGTCCCTTCATGCAACATGTCCAAAGTATGTCAGATGGAGCTTAAAAATCCTTGCCTCCAAGTATCATCCTGGTTTTACTCTCCCAAGGCTGGACTTGTTTGTTCTCTTAACAGTCATGTGATATTCAATATTCTTCTCCAGCACCACAACTTAAAGCCATCAATTCTTCTTTTATAATTTTTGGTCATTATCCAACTATCTGATGTATAGCAAGTAATTGAAAAACCATGGCCTGGATTAGGTGCACCTTAGTTCCCACACTGACACCATTACTCTTCAGTACTCTGGAGAAGTCCTTGACAGCAGATTTTCTCAACGCAACTTATCTTTTGATTTCTTGGCTCCTGGTACCAAAAGTGTCGATTATGGAGCTAAGCAAACTAAGGCTACTAACAATCTCAAGCTCTTTACCATCTATCATGATGCTATCAATTGACCCAGTGATGAGAATCATTATTTTCTTGATGTTGAGATCTTATACATATTGAAAGCTGCAGCTCTTGACCTTCTGTAGCAAAAGCCTCAGGTCCTCCTCAGTTTCAGCAAACAAGGTTGTGTCATCTGCATAATGAAGATTGTTAATAAGTGTTCCTCCAATCCTGGTGCCATATTCCTTCTCATAGACCCAGCTTCATGGATGGTCTGTTCTGCATATAAATTGAAAAGGTATGGAGATAGGTTGCATCCTTGACATACACTATTTCTCATATTGAACCATGCCGTGTCCTTGCTTTGTTGACAACTGCCTCTAGGAAACTTACAGGTTTCACATAAGAATCAAGTCTTCTGGGATTCCCATTGATCTTAGAATTAGCCATAGTTTGCTGTGATACACAGAATCAAATGCCTCTACATAGTCAATGAAACACAGATTCCTCTGGTACTCCCTACTTTCAGGTAAAATCCATCTAACATTGGCTATAGTATCCTTAGTGCTACGACTTCTTCTAAACCCAGCCTGCACATCTTGAAGTTCTCTGGTAATGTGCTATTCTAGTTGTTACTGGGCTATTTTAGGTAGAATTCTGTTTGCATATGATATTAATAATATTGTTGGATAATTTCTGCACTCTACCAGGTCATCTTTTCTTGGAATGGGAATGAATATGAATCTCTTCCATTCAGTTGGCCAGTTGGTTTGTTGCAATATGTCAATTGATATATTATCAATTCCTGGAGGTTTTTATGTTGTTTTTTTCCAATTTCTGCAGGGCATCATGGACTTCTTTCTTCATTACCATAGGCTCTTGATCACATATTATGTCATGAAATTAATCTGTGTCAGCTAATATACATCTATATATTTATATATATATTACTATAATATATAAATTATATATTTGCATAATATATACTCTTAAAATTTTCGTGAATATATGTATATTAATTTTCAATAAAGAATGTGCCATTTTATTATATTAGGTAAACATGAGGTAAGGGTGGTGAAAAATGCACTTAAATTTGTTCAGTGAGAATTTAGAATAGATTTATGAACAGAAAATGAAAATAATTATAACGAACTTCTATGAGTTTTAATTTGTCAATATGGTATAAAGCATACTCTAAAAGGAAATATCACTTTACATTAAAAACAAACATGCTACTGCAGGAAATGACATAGTAGAAATGCATCATCCTGTGAGAGTCATAAAATTTATTGTCTCTCATTGATTTTCACTGCATATTGTTTTAACATAAGATGTGAGTGTGATTATCCCTAATTTCATTTAAAACAATAAGACATCCATATCCTATTAAACTATTTTGGAAATAATTTCTAATCATTTCTTATATTTCTTATGGCATATTGTGAGTAAAGATACTTGATCTGTAAGTCAGAGAAGTAGTTTTTATTTCTTTATTTCCAAGTAGGTAGATAAGGTCTTTATTTAAGAGAAGTAAATTTTATTAAGTCATAGTCTGAATAAACAAAAAAATTGAAAAACAACAGGAGCACTACCTTAAATTCCTTACCTAACTTGTTCTCTTTCTTTCAGGGAAAAAAAATATGACAACAATACAAAAAATGCCAAACATATGATCATCTGATGGAAAATTATACCCAATTATCAACTGATTTTACTCTATTAGGGTTATTACCAACATCCAAGATTGGCCTCTTCCTTTTCATTATCATTGTTCTCATTTTCTTAATGGCTCTGATTGGCAACCTGTCCATGATTCTCCTCATCCTGTTGGACAACCATCTACACACACCTATGTATTTTTTGCTTAGTCAGCTCTCTCTTGTAGACCTGAATTACATTTCAACCATTGTCCCCAAGATGGCTTACAACTTCCTGTTTGGAAATAAGTCAATTTCCTTCATTGGATGTGGAGTTCAGAGTTTTTTCTTTTTGACTTTGGCAGGGGCAGAAACACTTCTCCTGACTTCTATGGCCTATGACCGTTATGTGGCTATTTGCTTTCCTCTTCACTATCCTATTCGTATGAACAAAAATACGTGTGTGATGATGATTATAGTATCTTGGTTAATGGGGTCTATCAACTCTTGTGCCCACACTGCATATGCATTCCATATTCCCTATTGCCAATCCAGAGCTATCAATCATTTCTTCTGTGATGTCCCTGCCATGTTGACTTTGGCTTGCATGGACACCTGGGTCTATGAATACACGGTATTTGTGAGTACTACCTTGTTCCTTGTGTTTCCTTTTATTGGCATTACTTTTTCCTATGGCCGTGTCTTTCTTACTGTCTATCGAATGCCTTCTTCAGAGGGAAGGAAGAAGGCCTATTCTACATGTAGTGCTCACCTTACTGTGGTAACATTGTTCTATGCACCCTTTGCTTATACCTACCTACGTTCAAGATCCTATCGATCTCCAACAGAAGATAAGATACTTGCAGTTTTCTACACCATCATCACTCCTATGCTCAACCCTGTCATCTACAGTTTGAGGAACAAGGAAGTCATGGGGGCCCTGAGAAAAATAATTCATAAAATTTTCAGTGTGGAAGTGTAGACAGAAGATTCATCATCGTTCTCTAAGCAACAGGTATAAATCTATTCAGGAGTTAACTGTTATGACAAATGTTATTCAAAACATAAACACAAAGATTAAATTCAGAAGACTGAAAGATTCACATCTGATAAATTTATATATCCAAATTAATTGTTTTCCATTCCTTGTGGTTAGATGTTGCAATCACTGTAAAACAAATAGAGTTTCTACTGACTTCTGGATGATAAAATTGTATTAAAACAGAAAATATAAATAGAATACTCATAATTTGATATTAAAATTCAAAATTATGTTCTACCACATTTGATTTCTTTTCCAATATAAACAAATTAGGACAACAGGACAAAAATATTTTAGAATGTCAGAGTGTAAACAAAAGCATGATCCTTAGGTTTATTTACATTAATTTTCAGTGTTAGTAGTTATGTAATTATTCTTATTTTCCTAAGTGCTCAGAACTGGCTAGTATAGCCAATGGGTTCAGAACTTTCTTTGGGAGATAGATGGTAAATTTCTGTCTTCAAGGACATCCACTTGGGTAAATACCAAGAAAAGGATTTATTAATGGATCTACTTTAAGATTCACTAACTCTTGAAACAATGGAATCCCAGAACACTTTATTGTGCTTATGTTAAAACTATACTTGACCAGGAGACAGTCATTAGAACAGCACAAGGAAACAGATATGGTTCAAAACTGGGAAATGTGTATGCCAGAGATGTGTTCTATCTTCATACCTTTTCAATCTCTATGCAGAACAGATTATACTGGAGGCTGGACTCTATGAGAAATGTGGCAACAGGATTGGAGGAAGACTCATCAACAATCTGTGTTATGCTGATGACAGAACCCTGCTTGCTGAAACTGAGGAGGACCTGAAAGTGCTTGCTGCAGAAGGTTAAGGACTGCAGACTTCAGTGTGAATTGAACCTCAACATGAAGAAAGCAAAGATTCTCACCACTGGGCCGATTGGTAACATCTTGCTAGATGGTGAAGAGGTTGGGATTGTTAACAGCTTCAGCTTGCTTGACATCACAATCAACACTCTTGATACCAGCCGCCAGAAAATTAAAAGATTAATTCATTGGGAAAGTCTGATCTCAGAGACCTCTCCAAATTATTAAAGACTAATGATGTCAGTCTGCAGAATAATGTGTGTCTGATCCAGGACATGATCTTTGCAATTGCTTGCAAAAAAAAAAGTTGAACAATGGCTAGGAGTAATAGAAGGGCAATCGATACCTTTGAGCTGTGGTACTGGAGAAGAGTATTGAATATACCATAGACTGCTAGGAGAACAAACAGGTTCATCCTAGAAAGAGTGAGATCATCTGCTCCTTGGATGCGAGGATTCTGAAGCTTCATCTGACATAATTTGGATATGTTGCAAGGAGGGACAAGGCCTTGAAGAGGCACATCATTATTGGGAGGGTGGAAGGACAGTGCAAGACAGGAAGGCCCTCGATGAGATGGGTTGATTGAGTTACTGAGGTAATGGGGAGTAGATGTGTCAGAGACAGTAAGATTGGTAGGGAATAGAGCAGGGTTTAGGACTGTTGTACATAAGGTAGCTATGAATCAGGCAACTTGATGGCACATAACAACAACAACAATTATTTTAGGAATAATAGAAAAAGGGCTTAGAACTTGCCAATTGAACTCTAGTTGATTGAAAGCCTATAAGGAGATTAACGTAATTTATAAAGGAAAAAAACTGAAGTTATAAAGAATTTTATTTTCCTTTGCTACAAAATTGGTATCCATAGGAATAGGAATAAGGAGCAAAGATTCAAACTATCCATCCAAGAAAAAGAAATTCTTGAAAACCTTGGTATTTTCTATGTTTATGATGGTGATTAATTTTTTCAGATTTTTAAAATTAATTTTCTTGAGTTACAATTTAATGTGGCTCAATGTAATGAAAAAGAATTTTTTCTGGTATTTTTTTGTTTTAGTCAAGATCCACCTAAGTTAGCAATCATATCCTTTATTTTGCATCATTTTCTGAATCTGTCTTGAATTTTTGGCAACTATCCCTCACTATACTGTTATCACTGTTTTTAAATTATCTTTAGCAAAATTTAACTTTATTGTTATATACCATATTGCTTGATAATTTCCATATTCTGTAGATTTTGTTTTGGCTCCCATGAGCTATATTTCAAATTCTTATCATAAACAGTTCACTTTTAGTCTTCTGCTTGATTGTTAAATCAATTCCTAGAGCCATATATTTCACTAATGCCTCCAGTTCACCTTGAACTTCTATCTCCAAAACCACAGGTTCTTGACTATACGCTACATCCTAAAATGGTTTAATGTTGACCATTTTTTTATGGTGCACATAAAGGGATTCAGCATTCCTTTAATCAGTATAATGTTGTTGTTGTTAAGTGCTATCAAGTCAACTATGACTCAACCCAATAAACAACAGATCAGAATCTTGCCTTATGTTACATCGTCCTCAAGATCTCTGATATGCTTGAGTCCGTTGTTAGTAACTGTACCAATCCATCTTTTTGAGAGTTTCCCTTATCTGATCTTACACTTCGGCCAGTATAATGTACTTTTCCAAGGATTGATTATCTCCTGATGACATGCTTAAAGCGTGTAATTTGGAGTTTTACCCTCCTTATCTCTAAGGAACACTCTAGTTTTACTTCCTCCAAGACAAATTTGTTCTTTCGGTTGTTCACTGGATGTTCAATACTTCTCCAACATCACAATTCAAAGGCATCAATTATTATTCATTCTCCAACTTTTAGACACATAGGAAGATATTTAAAATACCATGGCTAAGTTCAGGCACACCTTGATCTCTAGATTGACTTTACATCTGTCTTTCAGTAATTGACACATTAAGGTAGGAGAAAACAAGGTAATTTCAAATACATATAATATCACAACAGAATCATCTTGATTTAATTGGCACTTAGCAAACTCTCAATTATATAAAAATTGAATCTATAACCTTTTCAAATCACATGGAAAAAGTTTGCAAATAGAACATGCTCTTTGCCATGAAACACAAATTAACAAATTTTTTAAAAAATATATAGTATATCAAACATACTGTCAATACAACAGAAATAAAGTAGAATTGGTGGAAGATCTATTAACAATCAGCATTATGCAGATGACACAACCCTGTTTGCTGAAACTGAGGAGGACCTCATGCACTTGCTGCGAAGGGTCAAGGACTGCAGCCTTCAG